GTTCCAAACGACTTCAAGGATTATTTCTGAAACAGTATGGAGCTCAAATGCTCATTTTCATGTGGGTTTACTAAAAGGTGAGTTCCTTTATTTTATTTCCTGCTTTTTTTACACATACTTTCTCCAGTACAGGTTAGCTCTGAGTGTTAGCTATGCTTGCCAATGTAAACAAAGACCATATTACGTCAAAAACACGTTGCGCATTGTTTCTGATAGCAACATTTCTCATAGGGCCGTAAAGCCAGCCCACATTTCTGATATTACGTCATATCACAGCAAATCTGAATCAGCTCCGTTGTAGCCCCGTTTTTAGAAATGTGGGCACAAAGGAAAAGAGAGAGGGTTTTATTTTCTGACACTTTGTGAGTTCACTAGCACACCGGGGATGTGGATGGGACATGTATTTATGTATAAAATACATCAAAAAGTGGATTTTGCATGATAGGACACCTTTAAAGCGTATAAACATGTCCCAATAGAACAGGGGTTCCCAAACTTTTTTCCCAAGAGCCCCCCCCCCACCGCAACAGCGGTAATTAAAGTTTAAAAGTCTCAAAAATGCTATAACTACTGTCACAAACTGGATGAATGTGAAGTATTTTGTTAAAGAAGGATGAAAGCGCAATTAAGTAGCACTATTGGAGTGACTTTGATGGTTATTGGACTCTGGATTAATTAATTTGGATTCCCGCTATATGAAGAAATTAAAGTGGACCTATCATGCTATATTTGAATAATATATTGTAGGGCCATACCTATATAAAGCATGTCTGTGAAGTTTTTTTTTCAAAATACCAAACAGATCACCCATTGTAGCCATGCCTCATACTGCTCGTACCCCTCTTTTGAAGCCCTGTTAGAGAAACGCAGATCTTGGGTCCTTAGCTTGAAAACAATTAATATGAGGAGGCGGAGCTAATGCCTGATCAGAATTCTACCAGAGATAAAGTTACATTTTGCTGTGATAAAACGCCATCCTGTTCTAAACCACATCAAGGATTATTTCTGAAAAAGTATCTCAAATGCTTT